AGAGCAGGTACGAGGAGCTGCGCTTCTCGCTGCGCGGCGGGGCCACCTGAGGGCGGGAGGAAAAGGGACGGGTGAGCCAGAGAACTGCGGCTGTAAATCCAGCTCCAGGCTGGGAATTAGCCCCGGGACTGACCCCTGCGGCGTTAAGGTCTGGCTATACACAGCTCGTGAGTCAGTGTTGGTGCCCTTTCCCTAAAAGAAATCACCACCCCGCCTCCAGACCTCTGCCAGCGCACCGGTGCCCCACCCACCACCCGCCTGTTTCCGTGAGGGCACCAGGGTGGACAGCAGCAGTGCCAGGGCCATGCCCTGCCCGAGCAGCTCAGGCGCCGCCAGACACCTCTGTGTGGGCCAGAGTGTCCTGGCACATCGCTGCTGAGGGCCGTGGTCCCAGCCACGCCAGAGCGGGTCGGTGCTGTGGATGGCACGTCACCAGCTGCCACTGCGGGCATGAGGGCACGTGTGGGGGTGAAGTGATGGAGAGAGCAGGAACAGGTCTCTAACCACAACTCCCATTCAACTGACCCGCCTCACTCCCGTGCACAGAAAGTCCTGCGGGTCCCAGGGGAGGGTTCCTGGTGAGGGCACGGGTGCCCTAGGGCTGCCCCACCACCAAGGGCTCTCTGAGGTATGCAGGACTCGGGTTCAGGTCCTCTTTGAGCAGGATGCTGCACTGCCTCTGCACCTAGAGCACCAGAAGCTGCACACACCCCCAGAGCCCACCACCCTCATCACTGCCTCTTCATCATGTCTCCTCTTCCCCCCTTAATCCATTAATTTAATTACCAACTGGCTTAAACAATTGCTTTGTTCTAAAAGCCGGAAGCACCTGCCCTGGAACACCCACCTGAACCTGATCTCACCACACCCTGCTCAACCAGGCTGTGTCCTGGGCTATGGCTGGCTCCTGGATGAAAAGACCAGGGGTTCTGGTTCTTGATGGAATGAGTACTCTAGAAACCTCACTGTGTTTCACCAACCAGGACACTAATTCCTTATCTCACTGAGCTGAGCTGACCACACATCCCTGAGCCATCACGGGTGTCCTGTCCACCAGCCACTCTTTCTGCCTTTCATGGCATCTGGCATTCAGACAAACCCTCACACCCAAGCTTTGCCCTCCACACTGGAGACGAACCGCCAGGTTTTGTTCAACCCCAGCCTCGCTCCTTCTCCCATCCCAGTTTCTCCTTTCCAGCCCCATCAGGAACCTGGAAGCTCCACGGTTTTGCTGCCCAGAGCTAAAGATTTCCCAGCCCATGGCGCCGTGTCCGGGCCCAAGCTCCAGCCAGGCCCTGTCTCCTGTCCAGGAGCCATGAATCACTCCAGTGTTGTGTTCCTCCTCAATCCCCTCCAGAACCCGGGAGCCTCGTGCCAAGCCTGAGACACGAGTGCCCCAGATGCCAGAACACGGTGTGCTGAGCCCTGACTTCATGCTGTGACAGAGGAGAGCTGGGCAGGGGGGCTGGGGGTGCCACGGGGGCTGGTGGCTCCTCTTGCCCAAAACAGAGGACAGCCTGGCTTTTAAGGTCTCTCCCATCCATCAAACCAGGAGCAAAGTGATTCACCTGCGGCAGGAGGGTCTGAATTCCTCAGGGAAGAAGTGCTTTGTTCAGCCTACACAAAGCTTTTATCACACACCATCATCTCCACCTCAGCTAAACCAGCCTCCTGTTAGTCCAGACTTAAGCTGGTCCTCACAGCACTCCCCCACCCCTCCCAAGTACAACTGAAGTGTCTGTGGGGTGCAGCAGACAAAGGAATCTTTGCTCAACGAGTCTGGCTGAAGGAGGTTGTAGGTGATGTCTAATTTCAAATGAAAGCTGGTTAAAAATGGTTTTCCTCCAGGTAGGAGCACTACAAAGTGGAGGCTGTAGGTCAGCTGGATGCTGCCTTGACTTGCTAACTCCACTTCAGAGGTTTTACCCCAGTGAGGTCAAGCCAAAAGCCCCATCTAAAGGCAGTGTGGACTCCTCCTCCTCCTTCAGTCACTTCCTACTTTATTTGCCTCCCTCAAGGTGTTTTTGCATGTTCACCCTCACAGGTACCATCTCTCCAAGACATCTGTACCCAAATAATCCAGCCCCTCCTTGCCTGGGGTTTTGGTGGTTTGTGGGCAGTGAGAAGCACTGATCTCCAGGGTGCTGGAGGGCTCGGGGGGAGCTCTGCCACCCTGCTCAGCCACTGCTTTCATTTACCACCTCCACCAGGAACCACAGGAGATCCTGAGGAGCAGGGATGCAGTGGAAAAGCTCTGCCTTGGCCTGCTGTGGGTCCAAAGTCCACTCGGTGGCAGCACAAGACAAATGAGATGCTTCCAAACGAGCTGCTGGCTCAGGCTGCATCTGCAGCCACTCTGCTGGGTCTCTCCTCACCTTCTTTAAGGGGTTTTGTGGAGGAAGGTGGAAGCTGCCTGGCTGGTATGACCCCTGGGCTCCACTGCAAAGTGTAGGCATGACCTGCAAGCAGGTCCTGTGGTCTGGGTAAGATCCACCTGTAGATTCCTAAATGCAGAATGGGATCCATGATCCAGCAGAAGTTGAAACAAAAGAGGTTTAATTTGTGCTTGATACAGTAACGAGGACTCGGCAGATAGGACAGTAGCTGAGGCAAGCTCAGCTGCTGAAAGGAATGTACAACTCACAGCAGCTCAGGCATGCAGCAGTTCTGTGAGCAGAACACAGGATTTGGGATAGCTTAGCTCACACAACTCCCTAAAACACACCACAAGTGTGCTTCTCCTCAGTCACAGAAACCTCAGGCCTGGGTGAGAGACAAGCCTTGGGCAGACTCACTGGGAAGGAATGCTGTGGTGTGGTTGGGGTATCTTCAGGAGACTCCTGAGCTCTCCAGTGACTTTGGGTTGGGGGAGTCTAGAGGACTATCCATGCCAAAAAGCGTGACTGAATGCTGGAGGGTGATGGTTCCCTGCAGGAGGTGACCATGCAGTGCCAGCTGCCCCAGGCCCTCCAGCCCCTGACTCCTGTGGGACCACCAGCAGCAGCCACAACAAACCAAGCGTGTGTCCTGTGTCCCCAAGCACCCTGGCAGCTGATGGAAGAAACAGCCAGTGGAGACAGGGAGAAAAGGAAAGGATTTCTCACCTCAGAGGCTTCCCTTTCAAAGTCATCTCCTCTTGCCTGGGCAGAGCTATATGCCTGAGCATAGTGCTGATACCACTGCTGAACAGCCTCCTACAATGGAGGGAAAACCTGTCTACAAAGGTCGCTTCAAATGACAGCAGTTCTCGTGGCCTCACAGGGCAGGAGCATGGGTAACAGGCAGAGCTCTCCAAGAAGCATCAGAACATCTTGAACAGCAGTGACAGAGCTCAAACCAAACAAGTAAAACTATGTTCAGGGCTTAAAAGATACAGAAGACACCAGTGCCTTGGCAGTGGACACAACATCACTTCTGTTACTTGGAAGGGACAGTCCAACTATAGCTGAGTGATGACATGTGGCACCTCTGTGCCTCAGTGACATCATTTGAGTCCTTCATGTTACTGAAGATATTACTAAAAGTGCTACTATGACAACATCACTGATTTTTTTTTGACAGCATTTTAAGGATTGGGTGTTAGGAACTACCTCCAGGAGACACCAACATGAATTCAAAGCCAAGGATCAGATTCAAACTCAATATCCAAGACCACGTCAGTGCTCTCATGGAACACACAGGACATCTCTCTGGCTTCTGTAACCCCAACAGTCACCAGACCTGACCTGAGGGATGCCATGCAGAGACCCCATCACCTCTTCACCCCTCCCAGCCAGGCTGAGACCCTTCTGATTCCAAGCCCACCCCTGCACCCCTCTCTGTCCCCCAGAGCAGCCCTGCTCTGACCAGCAGGTCTGGAGCAACGCAATTTCCTCGCCAGCAGCCCAGGAGAGGGGAGCAGGGATTGTTTCTGCCTCTGCAGGAGGGGAGATCAGGAGGGAGAGGTCCTCTGGGGAGCAGGAGGTGATGGGGCCAGGGCAGGAGAAGAGCCACAGCAGAGCCAGGGTGGGGGTCTCAGTGCAGACCAGGATTTTGATACAGGTTACCTGATGGCACCACGATTCAGTTCTCTTATCTGATCTGCATGCAGTTATCCTCCCACACAGGCTGGCACTGGCTAAGGAACACACTGAAATGTCATTCACAGTGTTCCAGAGTCCCAGCACCCACTCTCAACACTTTCCAGCCCTTCCACTCCCCAGTCACCAAACAGGGCAGCAGGACTCCTGTGCAGTGAAACCAGAGACTGCCAAAATTCCCTGAGCTACACAGGAACCCCTGGTAGACAGCACAGGCTGCTCTGGGGGCAAGCAGAAGACTTGAAAACTTTGGAGGGGAAAAAGAAGAACTTGTTGGTTTGGAAGACAGAGAAAAGCCAAGCCAGAAGCTGTAAGAGAGAGAATTTTTCAGCCTGCTGCACTGAATTCAGGTTCTCAAGAAGCAACATTTCTGTGGCTATGACACCCTAGCAGAGAATGTCTCCAGGCTTTCATTTTTGGACCCTCATGAGATGTGCTAAATCTGTTCCATACACTAGAAGAGATAAGGTTCCTGTCTAAGCTGAAGGAGGACCTACAAGGTGCAGCAGGAAGAAAAGGGCTTAAGCTGCAGGGAAGCCTAGGCACTGCTGGAGAGTGGTACCTGATGCTGGGCCTGCTGCAACAGCACAAGGTGGGGTGGTTTGCAACTAAAAGAGGGAGATTTAGACAAGAGAGAAGGAAGAAATACTTTATGCTGAAGGTGGTGAGATACAGGCTGCCCAGAGAGGTGGTCACTGCCCCATCCCAGGGGAGGTTGGATGGAGCTCTGAGCACCCTGCTCTAGCTGCAGATGTCCCTGCTCCCTGCAGGGGGTTGGACCAGATGGCATTTAAGGTCCCTTCCCACCCAAAGCAGTCTATGATTCTAGGTGTACCAAGAAGTGTATTAACAGTACACATTAAGAAAACCCCATGAGCAGCTGAGGGAGGGATCTCTGAGCAGATCTCTGTCAAAAACCCCACTGCCAGAGCCCTGAGTGACAAGCCAGGCTTCAGAAGAAAGCACTGCAGGACAACATACCTGGGTGTACTCCCCATGCTGCTGAGAGTAACTCAAATAATGTTCCACTGCATGCTGTGACGTTGGTCCCTGAGACACAGCAGCATCCACCACGTTGTTGGGAAGCCCAGCCTGCTGCTGTGGACTGGAGGCTTTGCTGGCAATGGCTGTTGGTAACACAATGAATAGGTGATTGGAATGAGCTGCACAAACCAGGTTGCACTCTTGTTTCGCAATATTCTGAGGTGAAAACCAGAAATTCAACCAGAAATTTTTGCTCCAAATTAATCAGCTTTTAATAACTGAAAGGCTTTCTAGAAGTTTGTCTACATCAGCAGGCCAATTAACTCTGAATCTTTACCCTTCCCAAATAAAACATTAACTATGAGGACAGACTACATCACAATCTTAAGACAAATTTCCTTAAAGACTAAATGTGGTCACTGGAACCACCTGCTGGACAGAATAACCACTTACTCCACCCTGCCCAAGGAAATCTGCAGCTAAACCCACTAAGTGTTTGCTCACCTGGAAGACATATACCAGGCAACACACTTGCCAAATTCAAGTAGGGGTTGGTACTCAGCCGTATTTCTTTTGGTGGTTCTCCAAGCAGTGAAGTCTGTTTCTTCAAGGGGGTCTGTGAGACAATTGCAGAGGTCAGTGGGCATTAGAAGGCTGTCAGAAATAAAGGACCTCACAGCATTTTGAAAAAAAGCTCAGCCCTGTGAAATGTCAACAGAAAAACTTAAATACCAGGGACAACTCTCTGGACGAGCTGCCTGTGGTTTTTTCTCGCCAAATAATTTTGTAGGAATGTTTCTCTTTAGATTTTAAGTTACTAAAGGATATTAAAAAACAAACAGAAAAAAATCTTCTATATTGAAGTAAATGAATAATGACCACCAGAACGAGCCCAGGCATGGGGAGCTAGCACTGAGAACAGGGCCAAGACAAAATCAACTCTTCTCACCCAGAGTCCCAAGCAAATGGAGAAGAAATGGACCCTGGCCTGGAGATTATCTTCTCTGCAATCTGCCACTATAGCACATCTTGGAGCAAGGATTGTCCCCCTGGACTTGGCACTGGGGAGGCCACACTCCAAACCCTGGGGTCAGTTTTGAGCCCCTCCCTCCCAGAAGGACCTTGAGGGGCTGGAGCGTGGCCAGAGAAGGGCAACGGAGCTGCTGGGGAAGGGTCTAGAGCCCAAGTGTGGGGAGGAGCAGCTGAGGGAGCTGGGGGTGCTGCGCCTGGAGCAAAGGAGGCTCAGGGGAGACCTTCTGGCTCTGCACAGCTCCTGACAGGAGCCTGGAGCCAGGGGGGGGTCGGGCTCTGCTCCCAAGGGACAAGGGACAGGACAAGAGGAAATGGCCTCAAGTTGCCCCAGGTGAGGTTGAGGTTGTCCCTGAGGAACAATTTCTTGCCCTGGAGGGTTGCCCAGGGCTGTGCCAGGCTGCCCAGGGCAGTGGTGGAGTCCCCACCCCTGGAGGGGTTTCCAAGCCGTGGAGATGTGGGGTGAGGGACACGGGGCAGTGGGGACCTGGCAGTGCTGGGGGATGGTTGGACCCATGATTTTATGCTTCTGTGATCTGACTGACCACTCTTACACAAGCCCATACTTAAAAGGGGAAAATGTTTGTGAGTGGAAATGCAGTGTCAGGACTGACTCACTCCTCCAAACCAGGAGCAGTGTTTTCTGTGAAGGCCTAGGAAGGTTTCACTGCATCTCCTTAGCTTATGTTCAAAACTCCACCAGGAATAAGGGTGCAGAAGCTCAGGTGAGTTACACAGCCTGCCTGAAATACAGAGCTGAAAGGTGTTTTATACAGCATCCTCCTCTACCTCTGGTTTTTTCATTGTTTTCAAAGCCCATTAAGGAAAACCAATGCATTATTTTAATGCAGTAACACATTTTTTTAGTAAAATAGTATTAACCAACAATTTCTCAGAGCCAGTGAGACTAGTTTTCAAGCAGAAAAAGCTTCAGCAGAGTGCTGAAATTCTCTATGTGGATGCAAAAGCAGGTGTTTAAGGCAGTGTGACCATTCAGTGTCAGCACACAGGCTGGGGCTGTCTTGTCAAGATATTCTATTGATGCAGAAAAGGGAACAATTCAACTACCAGGATTTCAAAAAAAATAATGTTTCCTGATAAATAATATTCATAGAAATATATTTAGACCATTCTGGCTCACCCCAAATCCTACCCTATCGTCCTCCCATTCCCTGCCTTCAGGGGAATAAATATTGAAAGTGATACAGACTAGAAATATGTCAGCTGTGGCTAAGAAGGCACAGGTTAAGAGAGGTAAATTTACACACCTATATAGGTATCCACACCACCTGAAACCCCCAAGGTTTCCTACAAACCTGGACACACCACCAGGATTGCTCCTGCTGAGTCATGAAATTCCACCACAAGTCCAACTTTCTGTCCTTAAAACGGACGTTGCCCTCAAGATCATTTCATCATGGAACACTGTGTGGCACACACATGGAAAAAAAAATCCCTCTGGCATTGTAAAAAGATTCTGTTGTGCATTCATCTGGACCACCAAAAAGCATTATTGTTCTCTCCCTATTATTTCTCACTGAAGTGACCTTAAAATGTCTCACGAACGATCCTGTGATCTAGCAAATTTTACAGTGAAGAACCACACTAAGCAGTCACAGTTAACTCTTCACCATGTGAAAATACAGAGAGAACCCATGCAGAAGACAGTTAAAACCAGGGAAGCTGTGCCTGTGCTGCTGCTTACCCCCAGGCTGGGGTCAGGACCCCTGAGCTGGCTGTGCTGCTTGGCGTGCCCGGCCCGCAGAGCTCCCACGGGCAGGTTGGCTGAGGTCTGGGGGTAAGGCTGGGATCCCGAGGCGAGCACTTCCCCAGGTGACTGCTTCTCTGGAGGGTTGTTTTGCCCTGGCACTGCTGGCCCAACCACGTGCTGATTTGGGAAGAATGGCAGCACGCCCATCCCCGCCGCCGCCGCTGGAACGGGAGTCAGAGGAGATGCTGCAGTCGACCATAAATGGAGAAACTTTTCTGTTAGGCAAGATTTATCAGTACATTTTGTTTGTGGGCTTCACTAAGTGATGAGGAAAACAGAGATCTGTTTTACAGCTCGCCCAGAACACTGGATTCTGGGGAGAGTTTTGATACTTTTACCACTCCTAGCAGTGAAACAATCCATTTAAAGCTAACACAATATGAGAAATCTGACTTTTCTAAACATGCAGGGTGATAACAAATTACTTAATGTGTCCTGTCCCTTTCAAAAGACCTGCAAACAACATCTTAAAGGCTCCTCTATTGGAAGAGAGGGGGAAAACCTCACCTCAACTGGCATGCAGGTATTTTACTGGTTAGTCAAATCCTTTTCACAGACCAAACATCTAGAAAATGTTCTCCAGAATTAAAATCTAGACTTGCAGAATAGTTTTCTCCCTCCCCCATCCCCTGCCCCACAAGCTTTTCCTTGCTCCTGGTTACTACTATCACTCAGCCCGTGTTCACAATTGCAGAGTATGTGGCTCTCAGTGGAGGAAACAAAAAAGCTACACTAAGAGTTACCAAAACTGGTCTTTTCTAATAAAAATTGAGGGCATTGCTGGTGCAGAACATTCCAAACTGATGTCCATCACAGACTGGATGTTAAAGCTCCACTGCTTCATGAAATTAATACAAAACACCTTATTTGTGGCACCTCTTCAGCAACTCAGATTTACCTGCTTTGAAACAACAGTTTTGGTCCTATATAAAAACATGTTCTGAGCATAATAAGAACAGTGGCAACTGTGCAAGCAGAATATTTAGCAACCTGCAAATATTCAACCAATGCCACACTGGGCTCTTTCTTCCCTGACAAAGAGAGGAGAGAAGCCACACAACAAGGCAAGATATTTCTAGTTTTGTTTCCTGCTTAAGCCAGCAGGTTATATAGATAAATAATGACATAGTCATGACTTACTGCCCAGCTCTCTGCCTACCTCACTGGGCAGTGCTAAGGTTCACATGTATTACTGTTTTTGCCAAAATGGGAGAAAATAAGGTGCATCTTTTCAAGCTGAGCATCTCCACTGATCTGGTATGAAATAAAATGCCATTTACACTTGAGAGCTTCTCCACGGGTTCCCATCCCTGAACTGGCTGCTGGCATTACCCCTATTCCCAGGACTGTCTGGAGCAGCATCGTTGGAGGTTCTCCCAGCAAACTTGGTTTCTGTGAGGAAGAATAAAAAAAACTGTGTAAACGATTCAAATCATCTGCCTGGAGCTGTTATTTTTTTTTCTAACTTTTATATTTGGTGAATCTTTGTGGATACAGGAAAGGGTTAAATTATGCTAGGTGAACAAAATGCCTTGTTTGAGCAGTTGCAAGAGCGTGCAGAGAGTGCAGGCTGCAGTGATGGCCTTACACTGTTAGGCTGGATGCTCTCCATCTTCACCAGCTGCTGCTGGGGCAGGGGCAGGTGAGCAGGGCTCTGCAGCAGGACGTTAGAGGCACTCCCCAGAATGGAGCTCTGTGAGATGATCAAGAGAAGTGTTAGCTGACAGTCACAGCAAAGAAACATTTTCAGAGGACACTGCTTATAGAAATTTAAATTAGTTTTTGAGTTCATACAGCAAAGGAAAACAGTTTTTTTGCTCCACAGAACTAAATTTTTCCTTCATCCATAGAAGGTTATTTCAAGTTTTTTCACCCTCTCTCCCACCAAGCCCTTTTTTGCACCTCCCAAACACTGCTAAGCTTTCTGATGGCTTTTAAAGGATCAAGGGTATACTCCAAATAGAAGCCAACCTCCAGGGCAGACCCTGTGTCTCAGCCAACAGGGAAAGTTCAACATGTCTGAAGCCTCTGCAGCCACACCAGCTAGAGGAGATCCCTACAGTGCCAACAAGAAAGATGAGACCCAAGGACTGCAGGGGATTTATGAGCTCTATGAATAAGGGCTTTATTAACTTCTGTGTTGTGCCTTGCATTGCAATTCTCATACATAATCTGCACCAAATATCTATACAGTTCACAGGAGTGGCTTGTAATCAGCAAGGACTATCAGCCCTTGTTTTACAGCTGCCAAAAAGTATCTTTATTTTCAAAGAGGAATATCCAGATATGTTTTCCCTCCTTTTTAGCAGCAAATATCTACATTAAAGTCTATTCCAGAATCACTGAAAAGCTTACAAATCATACTGCCTACAGATTATCAGGTCTATAAAATATTAATATTTTTTCATTTAAAAAATTCATTAGTTTTCCACCACAATTGAGCCACTTCACAACTTGAGGGCACCACATTCAGACTCTGCTGTTGGTATATACAGCATTAAGTGCTCTGGCTAGCACAGTGGCTTGAAAGAAACCTTGTGTCCACCCTGGATCACAAAACCACATTATGATTCATGTGAGCTGAACACAGGCTTGAAACTGTCTTTCAGGCAGCAGCTCCTGAGCATGATTTGCCAGGCAAAATATAGGTGGATCTACAAGCCTTTTGGTACAGGGTGTCACATCATGCTGAGTACAGCCTGCCTCATTTTTTTTGACACCTCCTACATAACAAAGGCCATCAAAAACAGGTAAGGAACATGCCCAAAAAGAAGGCAGCTCTCCTGACTCACAGCTTTGCAGATTTTGCAGCCTCCTGCAAAACATCTCACAAATATTTTCAAGCTTAGGCTGGGTCTCTGTAAGGTCCAATTCCCTGGGGAGAAAACCCTCTATGCCTATAATATGGTCTTCTAGACTCAGAAATGTGCAATTTAAAACAAAACAAAAAAAAGAAGTGCTACATCTAAATGAGTACATCTGCTATTTTAATTTTTTTAGTGATTTGCAGTAGAAATTATCCAGGGCTGTTTATTCTAACACCTCCAGTGAGCAAAACTTTCCTGGGCCACTGGTTTCAATGTCTCACCCCTCTCAGAAGGAAGAACTCCTTCCTAATTTCTCATCTAAATCTCCTCTCTTCCAGTCTGTCCTGGTTTGGGGTAAATAGAGCTGGTTCTGCTCAATTATTTTACTTTTTAGCTAAAGCTCTTCTAATTAACTGCTCTGTCTGAACCAGCACACAGTCTGAACCCATTATCCCTCATCCTATCACCACCAGACCTTCTAAAAAGCCCCTCCCCAGCTTTCTTTCAGGCCCCTCTAAGTCCTGAAGGCCACAAGAAGGTCTCCCTGGAGCCTTCTCTTCTCCAGGCTGAAAAACCCCAACTCTCTCAGCCTGCCCTTGTAGGAGAGGGGTTCCAGCCCTTTGATCATCTCTGTGGCCTTCCTGAAAAGAAAGTCTCTGGGTTAATAAAGATTTAATAAACTGCTGGATGACTGAGAAAAACACATCTCTGAGGAAGCTTCAAATGCATTATTTTGGCACATGATAATTGTAACTAAGAGAAATTAAAAGAAAAAAGTTGAAAGGCATGCTACCTCCAGAGCTGAAAGATTACTGGATGAATAACACATTTGTTCAAATTCCCTTTTGTTCACACTTTTATTATCAATTATTTTATAACGTTGTGGCTTAATCATCCTAAAAATATTGTTTCTTCTCACTGTATTACTTTACAAGACCTTGAATGTGAAATAGCAAACCCAAGATACACAGGAAGCTGAATCAGTGTGTGGCTGGGGAGGTGGGGAGAGAGTCAAGCCAAGACACTGTCTCTTGAGACAATACTGAATTTCAGGACAATAAAAATAGTGACCTGGTTCTCTGGCTTTAGAGAATACTCTGAAATAAATCACTGAAAAACAGAAAAAAAACATGTGCTCAATAGAAGGAATTGGGATAATCAAACCCTTGTCAATAAAATTCAAGCTATTAGGCCAGGTTTGGAGCTAACCAAATGGCAGGAAGCTCCCTGGAAGAGAATTAGACTTGTCTCTCTAAAGAGAAAACACTAAGTTTTCTGGCTGCAGCACTTTTAAGCCAAAAAACTGTTGGATCATCATCAGTCCTCCTGGTAAGTGTGTCAAACATGCCTGTCTCCAGCTGTGACTGGAAAACATCCACATTGCCTTCCAAGGAAGCACAGAGTCTCCCAGGCTGAAGAGAGAGCAGCAGGGACTAAACATACCCATTGGAAATGTCACTGAAACTGAAGTGGGACAAAGAAGGATGTATTTTTATATTGTACAGGACAAAATCAAGTTATTTAATGGGGTAAAATTAAGTAGTGTTTATACAAAGTGAATGTATCCACTTGCCAGTTTTTAGCAGAAAAAAAACCCTTGAAAAGCTAAATATGCTTAACATAAAGAGTATCTCTCCATTTTAATTGGGTTGTTTTTAAGATCTATTAAGCCCATTTGCCAAAGGGACAGCACAAATAAGAACTACTCCAGAGGGTTTTGGTTTTTAAATTGGAATTTCTGAAACATCAGAAATAGTAAGTCAAAGCAATTGACTCCAGTCCTTCCTAGGTACTTGTGAAAATCCCCCTCCTGTGAATATTCAAGGCAAATTGTGGCTCCTGGCAGAGCTGGAGAACACTCTGACAGAACCTCAAGGCAAGGTGGAGGGCAGGCAGGCTGCTGGCCAAGTGAGCTGCTGCAGGGAGGCGTTCTGGTTGTGGGTGCTAGTCTCCCATATTCTCATCCCCAATTTTGAGGGCAAACTCAGCCCAACTATCCTTTATAGTACCTTTCAGAAGCTCTGGTGTCTATACAGGAGTCGTGTCAACTTTATGGTGAATTACAGATAATCCAAGAACAGCTTATAACCTTGGGGCTTTTTTTTGACTAGGAAGTAACATCTGCAAGTCACTTTTTATGCCACGTGCAGCATAAAACTGTGGTCCCTGCAAGCTTTAAAATGAGGGTAACAGTGCTAAGTTTCTTGGCTGGAATAAGATAAAACAATCAAGTCTCTACAGGGAGTATGTATGAGCAGCTCCAAGAGAAAATGGAGAGCTCCATGTCATGCTCCTCAAGCTCTCATTTAAAGAGGATTTTTTTTGCCAGTAATGGCCAGTTGTCTCTACATTGGCAGGTGTTAGCAAATCAAAAGCTCAGTTAAGATAAAATATCTCACTTGTGGAACAAGCAGGGTCTGCTCTTACATCCCCAAGGGCATCTCATAACAGAGTGCTTTTCCTAAAGGTACCTTTAACAAAAACAGTTGAGTTGTAATTTCTTAAATCTTTGAGAATCCTTTTCATGCTGACACCTCCACAAATAAGTCTTCACAAATTCTTTTTATCACATACCTGGTGAATTTTGTTCAACTGCAAAAAAGGTGGGCCAACTGCTGAATTGATAAGGTGAGGTAAACCTGCAGATCCTCCAAGAACTGTTTAGAAACACAAGACAAAGTTTCAGTGGTTTGTAAGTTAGGGAAGTAAAGATTTAAAAAAAAAAAAGAGTTATTCTGTATTTTTCAGATTTGTTTCCCACAAAACTTTCCAATATACTGAAGGTCACTGTATTAAACCTTCCAACAACAGTAAAACTTGTGGGTTGAGATATGAACAATTTAATAACTAAAAAGTAAAATAAAATAAAATAATAACACCAACAATAAAAGATAATAATTTGTGAAATGCTGTGTACAACTATGGCAGCAACCAAGGGAATAACGAGCTGGATTCAAGCTGCAAAATTCAGATCTAAAATCAGATTTAAACTTGTCTGCAAAAGACATTTCATTTTAACCCCATTTCTAAGATAAACATTCAGAGATGGCAGAGTTAAGGTGAGGACATGCTCACCTTAGGTAATGCTACAGTCTTCCCAGACATGGTAGTGTAGAAATCCTCCTCTTGCTTTCACTCTCATAAAATGTCCAAGTGGATACACAGACCCACTGAAACAGTGTCTGCAGAGATTTTAAAATAGCATTGCTGCTTCTCTCCTTGGCTGAGAGCCTTGTGTCACCAACAACAGGGTTTTCTGCATTTTTTTGACCTCAGTTTTAAAGCAGCTTACCAGGTTTAACAGGATGTCCACGCAACTGGGGCTGCAGCAGCATTTGCAACATGGCTGGGTTATTAAAACTCTTCATAATCTGCACTGGATTGGGCTCTGGCAGCAGCCCTTTCCTGTTGTTCCTCATCTCCAAGGCAGAGAGATACAAAAACAAACGTTAGAATCAGGAGAAAGCAAGAGAAGACATTGAAATTGTGCAAAGGTAATGTACACATTTCATTCCTAAATTACCATGCTCCTTTTCCCCCAAATGAAACCCCTAACAAACTATTTCTCTAGAACCTCAAGCATAATATTTTTCCTGGGACATATTTTTGGTTTTTTTTTTCCCTTAAACCAAGACAGAGTTATCAAAAAAGGGGAATATGAAAGGCACTGTTAACATGAATACCACGTATTTTATTATAATAGCACCACTTATCTCTTTTATAAAGCTGTGGGCTTAAAGCTACCCCAGGTAATGAGACTGTTCTGCTTCTACTTTTAAGACAGCTTCATGTAACACTTATCACATCCAATTTTCTAGGAAACAATTTGATAAGATGTGGGTGTAAAAAGCTTTCTTCTATATCGAGCATGAAATTAAACTATTCCTCCTACCTTGACATTTATCTTAAATTTGACAAATTCTTGCCTCTCTGTTTTAAACCATGCTTTAGCTTGTCAAATGGCTCCACTTCCAGTTACTTTGGTTTTGAACTGGAACCATTTCTCTTACAGAAAATTAAATTTGCCAAAATCCCAGAGCTCTGCAGGTATAACTTTGTCATCTCTCATGGCCACATTTTACCCTTCCTCCTTGTAGAGTATGGCCAGGCTTTTCCTGGGAAGGAGACTGAGTTGGGCTGAGGAGATAAAAAGAAGGGAAATGCTCCCAAAAGCTTGGTTCCTTTTCCTAACACAGGAATCCCTCTGACCCAACTCGTGCTGAAAAGAGCTTTGCAAACATCTTACCATCCTCTGTGCTGCTATAAGTGCTGCCAAGGTGCTTCTGCCCGGCGCTCCCGGGGCACAGTAGGACACCTGGATTCTCCTCCCTTTGACAGCCATGCCATCAGTGGCTTCTTGGACCTTCTCAGCCTGCTCTGCAGTTTCATACTCCACCACCGCAAAGTCACCCATACCACTGTCTTCATCCTGAGCAAACTGAAACAATATTTCAGGGCACATTGAACAAAATGGAGACTCTCAGGAAGGGCCCTTGCAGCATTTTCACCTATCCCTTGCAAAAATACTTTGCAAGCAGCTGAGGCTCTCCATTAATGCCTTCCCAAATCAGTATTTCTCTCCTCAAACGTGCTAGATGTAAGTTGAACATCATATCTTCCCAGGATACTTGGCGTGCACGCTCCATCTACTTGAATTACCACCTTCCCTTCAACCTCATCTCCTGCAGAACCTGAGCTATGACATGTATTTAACACCTATTTTCAGAATAAAGAAAGAATGAGAAGGAAATGGTGAATACAGCTGTATGTGACAGCAATTTTTATTTATATTTTGCAGGGTAAGAATTATAAACTCGTCGTTGTTCAGTTTTTAAGCCTACAATAATAAAAATGTCATTCATCAGGCTACATGACAGTTGTTGAAGCATGTAACAATGCAAATTCCACTCATGTGCACTGCCTTTTAGGAGAATGTGAAGTCTGTGGTCGAATTTGATGCCAAGAGAAGATGCCAGACTGATCAATCAAGTAGACTGGAAACAGGCTTATGTGTCGAACAATGCTCTGCCCTTTGTTTGCAGAGTTTTATAGCAGAATGAGCAGATTTAAATCCAACAAAAAAAAAAAAGGGGGGTGAGAAGGGAGGGAATAAAGCTTAGGCAAAAATCTCCAATCCCTAAAAGAACCACTGATATTAGCTCTGCTGGGGAAGAGAGGAAATCCTCTAGATTTCACTGGATAAAAACAACCTATCCCCAGCTACTAGGTCCCACAAACTAACAGCTGAAACACAGATCTCCAGGATTTTGAAGAAAAAGAGGGTGGTCAGATCTTTAATGTCACTGTTCAAGACTGGGAAGAGCTCTGGACAACACAAGTATTTTTGGGATATATATATAAACATACACAGACATGTATATGCTATGTAAATATATATATGTGTGTCTCTGTGGTGAAGCATTATAGTTTACTTTGAAATTTTAGAAAAAGCCATTTTTCTAGGACCCATGTGTATCTGGCTTCAGCTCTTCCTGATAAAATATTTCTATTGTTAATGGTGGAGGAATCAAGTTGATTTCAAGAAATGGTAACTTTGGAACACAACAAAATAAACTAGGGTTTATTTCATGAGCCCAGCTAAGAATTTTAGGTAAAAGATCATGTTTCCTTTATGAAATACTGCATTAGGGTTACCAGCCATGAAAGCAGCACAAGGCAGCTAAAGAAGCCATATGAAGAGAGAGGCAAAATGGTCCAAGTGACCCCAGTGGGGGGACAGTCTGAGCACAGGAGTGGTGTGAAGGCTGCACTGGCCAAGACTAGGAAAAGGAAGGAGGGGAGAGACTGTAGAGCCACAAAGATGTAAAATCACTCCAGTGTGAACACACATTTTGTTTTCTAAAACATATTCATTCTTCCAGGAAAAATTTTGCAGACAGAGACAGCTCTCCTAGTCATTCTCTATTGAAATTCCCTTCCCATCCAGGGTTTTGCTACCCTGTCCTCTCCTAGTTTTCCTCTTATGCCTCTGCCCATCAAGTCACACCCTCCTCCTTGCCTTTTCTGAATGTTCTTGGGTCTTCCTCCTTCTCCTTTCTTTGTACTTAATTTTTAGGTCATCTCACTCCTAAAACTAAAACTAATTAGCACTATTGTGATGGGAATTCATCCACTGCCTTCCCTTTTTCATTTATCAAATCTGACCTACTTGTTTACCCACCTCCACCCTCCTATCTTCCCTCAGCCCATGGGCTTCACCTCCATCACTCACTTCTGCTGCCTCTCCCCACAGCCCCTCAATAAGAACCTCCCTTATCAGTCACTACCTGTTGGATGCCCAGTGGAAACATGGGGCAGAACTGACAACAAACCTCATGTTTATTCTCTGAGAGGCTCTTTGGATGAGATGATGTCCAGAGGTCCTTTTCCAACCCCTACCATGCTTTGATTCTGTAATTACTGAGAAGAAATAAGTTATCATAAGTAAACCTATTGTTTTTCTGTTATCACACTTCTACAATCTACCTACTAGCCCATTACCCAGTGTGTTTATACAAGTTCTAGGTAACAGGAGAACATGCCAAAAATCTCTTCTTGGATGTATTTTTGCCTGGGTGCTTATTTCCCAATTCCAAAGCATACTGTTTACTTCCTGTATTTTATCCAAACGTGTCTTTAGTGCCTTTCACTGACAGAACACACACAGACCCTCCTCACCTACAGCAGGTGTGACCCACAGATGGTTTAAAAGGAGAAAAGTTAATTTTTAAGTGGCTCTAACTGCACAATAGAATATTGTTAGTGGAAAGAAGAAGCCTGTTAACTCTTTGAACCTCAGGATTTTTAAAGGATGTTGAAAAATTGCTGGGGGAGCTGACAACAGCCTCCAGATTATCTGACAGCTGGAAAAAAAGCCCCACAATAAGACTTTAAAAGATCAGTCTGTTTAGCTAATTAAACAAAGATTAAGGAAGTGACTTGATTACAGCATTTAATACCTTCTTAGAGAAGAAAATTGGGAATAGTGGGGAGCAAAGGCACCTCGATCTCATCACCAGTGAGGTGAAGCAGAAGCCAGATACATTCAACTGAGAAAAGAGACTCAAGTGCCAAGTAATGAGGGACAGCCAGTTTCTGGGAAGAGTTACCTCCAATTTCTGCATCTCCTGGTGTACAAGGATGTACTTCAGCCAGCCAGAGATTACTGGGGCTCAAAAGGAGGACTAGGGACTCTGTGCTGGTCTGCAGGTGGTCAGCCCAGACAGCCTGAGGGACCTTCCGCTCCTAGATGCCGGGAACCTCCTGAAGGTCATCCCTGAAGCTGATCCCTGAGCAGCCTTCCAAGATGCTGAACAAAAAACCAACCAGCTCAAACCCAACAACAGAGGCCGTACCCAACTGGGTGACCAGGAGGCCAGCTTGCTTTCTGCTGCCTCTTCATGGTCTGCACCACTTCTATGAGCAACATTTTATTTGTGGTCTAGTGTCTCACAAGACGTGATGAAGAGAAGGAAAGATCCACACCTACAAAGGCTCAAGAGGCTCCACCTCTTCTGTACCTGCAGGCTCTCCAAAAGATGTCCCACTTCTACCACAGGCAAACCCAACCAACTGCAAGATCCCAAGCCTACATCTTTACCAGTCAGGGAAAAAACACATCACATATTTACAGAGATTTCTTAAATATGTTACTTATGGGGTGGTTTTTGATATATAAATTCTCTGTTATCTGAACAGTTGCACTTGAGGTGTTCATTCACTCTGGCCTTCCTTACTTAGCAACAAAATCATCATTAACATTTACTTTAAAAGCTCACTAAAATGATTTTCAATAAAATACATGAGGAGGGGATGTCTTAGAAACATTTTATTGGTGCTTCATGGCAGTGATCTACTGCAGAATTCCCAGATGACATCAACCAGTCACTGCAAACCCATACCAATAAACCATTTGTGGTGCATCAAATCTGGGCCTCTCAATACAAGAAAGACCTGGAGGGGCTGGAGTGTGGCCAGAGAGGGGCAACGAAGCTGCTGGGGAAGGGTCTAGAGCCCAAGTGTGGGGAGGAGCAGCTGAGGGAGCTGGGGGTGCTGAGCCTGGAGCAAAGGAGGCTCAGGGGAGACCTTCTGGCTCGGCACAGCTCCTGACAGGAGCCTGGAGCCAGGGGGGGGTCGGGCTCTGCTCCCAAGGGACAAGGGACAGGACAAGAGGAAACGGCCTCAAGTTGCCCCAGGGGAGGTTGAGGTTGTCCCTGAGGAACAATTTCTTGCCCTGGAGGGTTGCCCAGGGCTGTGCCAGGCTGCCCAGGGCAGTGGTGGAGTCCCCACCCCTGGAGGGGTTTCCAAGCTGTGGAGATGTGGTGTGAGGGACATGGGGCAGTGGGGACCTGGCAGTGCTGGGGGATGGTTGGACTGGACCTTCAAGGTCTCTTCCAACCAAAAGAGTTTTCTGATTCTACATATCACAATGCAGATGCATAACCATTCACTACTTAAATGAGAAATAAAAAGGGTAAGACAGCAAGCAGGGAAGATGCAAATACAGAGCTCCTTAAACCACAACCACCATCTTCCAGAAGAGGCAAATTCAACATACCTGGCAGAAAACAGGTTTATACTTTAGTGAGAAAGCCTGGATGAGTTCTTTTGAATCAGCACAGTCTTTTTGCAATTTATCTACACAAAGGCACTTGGAGTGAATAAGATTTGTCGTCAGCTGGTTGACATCCATCCACTGTGCAAAGAGAGTGTTCTCCTCCATCTGTTTCCCCAGGAGTTCCAGCCTCGCCTTGGCAGCAGAGTCCTTCTTCATGTACTCCACAAAGCCATAGCCCTTGGAGTGGCCAGTAACTTCACTGTACACCAAAAAACACCTCTCCACGTTGCCATAGGCACGCACCAGTTCTTCAAACTCTTCTAAGGTGAGGGAGACGGGGAGGTTGGTGATGCAGAGCAAGGCATCTGTGGGCTGCAGCTGCACGGAGAGCTCCCTGCCCCGCAGCGGGTGCTGGTGGAACCTCCGGATGGCGCTCTGAGCCTGCTCGCCGCGCAGCCACCAGAACAAGTTCCATCACCTGCCACAGCTCCTCGACACCTACAGAGGGGATTACTAGGCCTCCCCCTCCCACCAAAACCCCCCTGGTGTAACTCACAGGTAAAACAAGTTTGGGATTTACCCTGAAGATGTGACAGAAAGAGATACGCTGTGATATATTTATTAAAACTGGACATCCTGAGTAATGAGCTCAGAGTGACTACACAACCACACATCTGCACAACCACACTACCTGTAAGCCAACAACATTTCACATTCAGGAAATGAAAAGCAATTAAATTTTATACTGAAGTCACCACGTTACTGGTTCTACTGAACTTCACTGAAGACAGCGTCCATAAATTCTCACTTCAGAATCACTGGATCTCTTCTGGGTCTTCAGTCTATAAAGCACTTCACACAATCACAGAATCACAGACTGGATGAGGTTGTCAAGGACCTCTGGAAGTCACCTGGTCCAGCCCTCTGCTCAAGCAGAGCTACCAAGAGCTGGCTGCACAAGACCATGTCCAGATGGGTTCTTAGAACCTCAAAGGATGGAGATGCCACAACCTCTCTGGGCAACCTGTAACAATGCTTGGTGACCCTCACAGTGAGAAAGTGCTCCCTGATGTTCAGAGGGAATCTCCTGTGGTTGAGTTGGCACCTGTTGCCTCATACCCTGTGAATTAAAGAGGATGGGATAGTCTGGAGTAAACCAAGCAGATGGAAGCTAACTGGGAATTGGACAAGATGACCTTTAAAGGTCCCTTCCACCTCAAACCATTCTGTGATTCTGTAATTGTGATTCATGTGTTTTCTTCCAGTGATCAGCTGAAGGGGACTGCACAGGCCAGTCCTCAGCAGAACCTTTGGCTCTTCTCATGGAAGGACCAGACCCAAGTCTCACACTTCATCCAGAGATACCATCAGCGCTGACAACCACTCGTGGACAAAGGGTTGGGCACTGAGACATGTCTTCAATGCTAAAGGTGTGAAAGATCACCTTCAAGAAATTCAGCAACTGCCTTTCTTCCAGAATAGCCTTCAAACCCACCAACCTCAGCAGCAAGCATTACCAAAATCTTTAAGAACTGGCAGTGGGTAGGATCTGCTGTGGTGGTTGCTTTCCCTTTGTCCACAGTTGTGTGTTCTGTCCACCTCCTTGTGGGCACATGACATGTTACAGAGGTGGTGGGTGTTGCAGAACACAGACAATCAGTTTGTTGTGCAGACTACATCACCTCACACACCAACTGGCTTTATTCCATACTTAGAAATCAAATTTGCAGGATAATGGGACAGTAAAGCACAAACTTTTGCTCCTTAGGGGTAGGTGTCAAGAAACATCAGTATCCACAGAAAATCCTGACAGAAATCTATCACAGCTAGGGCATTAAGATTTTTGTCCTGGAAACCAAGGTTGCCTCAGGAGATAGCTCAGGAGGGCCAGGAATGTGTAGATAACTATTTGTCCATTTCTGTACCTCACAACCACTAAAAATCTGTGAATCTCCTATTAAGAGGATTAATTTGTAAATGGAAGACCAGACTTAAATAATTCAGGATTTAATTCTGGACAGCTCTTCCTTCAAAGGCTTAAGTATGCCTTCAATAACCTGCTTTTGGCTTCCAGTACCTGAGGCAAATGCATCTGGAGCTAGGTAGTTTTTCCTCTGATGATGCCATTTAGTGTGTCCTAAGAGAGGCCTGAGGACTAGTTTTTCAAAGGAGATCAGAGAGTTGGGGTTAGCTTTGTCCCAAAAAGACACTCACTAAGGGAACACACCTGAGAGGTACCACACTGGACCAATCTACTTCCAGCTGGCAGCAAAGTTTCCAACCTCCCACTGGCTTCCACAGAAGGTGACAAGCTCTGCAGCCAAAACAGGCACTGAGGGACAATCAAGCTATGTGAGAGCAGGGAAGCTGATGACTTCATATGTGGCAGATGATGTTCCTCACCAGTTTCATCACAGAATTGAAATGTATGACACTGGAAGATTTTAAGTCCTTACCTGTTCTTTTATTTCTGTCCACGTAACAGTATTTGATTTCATAATCTTTAAATAAGTCATGGATTTCCTGAAAGAGAAAAATACAAGTAGCATCAGATAAATAATTCACCAGACAAGAAAAAAAAACACCAAACCCACAAACTTTCCCAATAAAAAGAAAATCTCACAGTAGAAACACTATCAAATATTTATTCTTACAGGAATTGATTACACTGCTGCAGCAATGCTTTTATCTCATATTAAAATTGGCTGACTGAATTTGATCACTTTACTTTTCATTATCTAGTCACATCAGCACAACAGAGGATCCTGTTGACTGTCTTTTGATAAAGAGAAGTAACATCATAGTTCATTACACAGCAAACCCCCACAATTTCTCTCTTTTAATAATGACTGTTCCTTCAACCAACAGACAGTAAATAGGAAAGCATCCTCTATCAATTACTGCACAGATGCTCAACGAAGAATCAATCCCAAGAGCATCATTTGCTCCTGCTAATTAATGGGGAGAGGGTAGGAGCTGGTGTAAGAGCTGTGTACCAGTCTGCTAGAGCTATTCTCCAACAAAAGCAAGGTGTAGGTGTAAAATGTGCTCCACAAAACACACAGACCATTATTAGTTTGGTGGTGAGAATGCCACAAGGAACACCAACCATCCCCAGGAAGAAACCAAGAGTAGTAACCCCAATGGATGCATTCTAAAACTTGGGTAAGTCCCAGATATAACAGTGAAAGACCACTTGAGTAAGAAATAATCAAGCAGCTTTGTCTGAAAGTTTAATTGCTGACAGTTTCCAGCAGCCCAGTCCACTTGCCAGTTTGCTAATTCAATATATAGCCAGGAGGTTAATTGGGCTCTCTGTGGCCAGTATCAGGTACATGGCTTTTAGTCAAGAGAGCACCAATCTCTAGTTTCACTAGTTAACAGCTGTCAAATACTACATGAATTAAATATGGCAGTGTTTCTCAAGCTACCAGCCACCCTCTGATCAGGTGAGGTAAGGACGTGGTTTCTGAAAAGCAAAACACACCAGGCACAACTCCAGGGTTGAAGTCAGGCTGGTGATTTGGCTGTGGATGTCTAACAAGAACCAGATGCTAGTTCACTCTCAGTCCTGAGACAATGAGGAGACACTTTCTGCACAGTGTTGTACAGCTCAGCTGTGTTGTGGCACTGCAGGGTCTGAAAAGGTTACTTTTGTCCCACTTAGAAAAAGAGGGACATATTTACCTCTTTTATTTCCTCTGTTATTTTACAAGAGTAACACTGAGTTTTATATCACGATTAAGTAGCAGGAAATATTATTTCAAACAGCTCTGAATCCTTCTTTGAAAGTCGTCTGTGAATCAGATGATTCCACATGATTTCCCAGTAACTGCCTGAAACTTAATAATTGAGAGGGAAAATAGCCTGTATTGAACATATCTTCATGGGGTAATTACCAGGTCTCATGATGAGAATGTAAGGAAGGTTTAAAATTAAAACCTAATTTAAGCAAAGTAAATTTAGTAATGACTTTAAGACTGAATTCCACAGGTCACTGCAAACGCTGCCAGGTTTTGAACACGGGCACTTCTCTCAACTCTACCTTCAACCTCTTCCAATGCTGCCCCTCTGCCAGCTCTGTGAGACCCCCCTGCAGTGCTGGGGCAGCTCTGGAGTCCTCAGCACAGCAGAGCCAGGGACCTGCTGGAGCGGGGCCAGAGGAGCCCCAGCAATGCCCCGAGGGGGGAACCCCTCTGCTGGGAGCCCAGCCGGAGAGAGTTGGGCTGGGGCAGCCCCAGAGGAGAAGGCTCCAGCTGGGGAGACCCCCTGGGGGCTGCCAGGACTGCCAGGGGCCTGCCAGAAAGCTGGGGGGGGACTTTTGAACAGGAGCTGTTGGGACAGGACAAGGGGGATGGTTTGAAACTAAAAGAGGGAGATTTAGGCTAGAGAGAAGGAAGAAAATTTTTATATTGAGGGTGGTGAGCCCCTGTCCCAGGCTGCCCAGAGAGGTGGTCGCTGCCCCATCCCGGGCACCATCCCGGGGGAGGTTGGCCGGGGCTCTGAGCACCCTGCTCTAGCTGCAGATGACCCTGCTCCCTGCAGGGGGTTGGACTGGATGACCTTTAATTCCAACCCAACCCAACCCAACCCAGCCCATGACTCTGTGATAGGTTTAGCAAAGCAGCAGTTACAAACCCCATGGTGGTACCACCTGTGAGCCACAGCTGCCACCCCAGTGCCACCACTCTGCCCACGCTCACCATACCCAAACCATCTGTCAACCAAGCCTGGCCACTATGAGTATTTCTTCCATGTATCATTTACCAAAGTGCTTCTCCTGAAGGATTTTTTCCTCTTTTATAAATGAATGAACCTACTAGTCTAAAAAAAGTCACTGGTAATCAGCAGAATCGTCATGATTTAAGGGCACCATATTAAGCCTGAAGAAAACAGCACCATCCAGTGCCCTGGGGAAGGTCCATCTGCCACGACTCTTGTGCTAGATTATAATATTTTGACAACAGGAATTGTAAGCATTTATAAAGCTATCTGGCAGACATACAGCAGTCATGGATCCTGTGAAGTTTCCAACACAAACACTGTTCACAGTGCTGCCTGCCTATCTCAGCTCTTAATTATTATGGCTCCTAGGATTGAGTTGTAGTTGGCTACTGAACCTGATGTGAAACTCAGCACCAGCTCTTGGGCACCGAGGTGTGTTTGTACCTGAGCAAAGTGTCCCTGTCAAAGCAAGGGTTCTATGTACCACAGAGAGGGAGAGGAGGGGAGAAAAAAGAGAGGGTTTGCTCAGAGTAACAGCAGTTGCATAAACATGTGGGCTATGCCAGCAGCTCTAGCTAAACATCTTGGAACAGAAATGGAACCAATAAAGCTCAGCTACCATACAGGCCCTTAAACCTTCAGAGTTCTGCAAAGCAGACTTTGAAAGCTAGTTCATCTCATCATCAGTAAAAATGAAAATCCTAGCTAGAAAGTAATCAGTTCATACTTTAAAATCAGCAGAAAAAGCAAACCCAAATAGATTAAAGGCAGTTTAAGAGAAACTATGAGGAAACACAGGCTGGATATACTTTAAAATATGTATTATTTACTACTGTAAAAAATGTGGTCTTGAAATATTTCAGCTCGTGGCCTGTCTCATCTTGTCTTAGGTAATAAGAACTGGCAACATGAATTTTTACCACATACTATCAATTTAAAATCTGCATCTCTCAAACAGAAAGAATGCTTTCCTTTGAGAGGATCTGTCTTTATGCTTTATTACCTGCACTGTTTAAAACACAAACAAGAGAGAGAGTCATTAATGGGCAAATTTGCCTTATTTATGAAATTAGTAAAGCTCTATGTATTATTTCTAATAAAGTCAGCTTCTTATACCCAGGATCTCATAGTTTAAGAAAGGAAACCTGGAAGACCTGGAACAATATATCATGTATATAAAGCCTGCAGCACTCTAAAGCCAACTCTTTCTCTCTCTAGATGTAATGCTGAATTGTGTTATTCTGGCAACAAAAACATTTAGCAATTATAATGGTGCCTGGCCAGATTTCTAGAGTAAGCTGTGGTGGTGTTTCCAACATCAACATGGTACAAGCCTGGTACAAACCTTTGCTCTCAGTGAGCAGATGAAGGCCCCAGCACACAGGCTCTTGAGGCAGGAATTGATTCTGGTTTAAGTAGTGGAACTAAATAACATGTTTGGCTAACCAAGAACTTTTAAATCATCTCCTAACTAAGAAAGACTTTGTTTTCCTTTGTGCAGGCAGAGCAGGAAAGAGGAAGACTTCTCAGGGAAAAGCTTTACATTTAAAAATGATCCAAGGGGGTGTTCATTTAATCCATGTTTGAGTCCATGACATGACACATGGGTTTCACTGCAGATATTCAAAAAATGGTCTGCAAAAGGAGTAAGAAAGAGAACATCAACATGGTTTAAAATAATAATGCTACTGAGGGAAGATCCCAGAGACTGCTGGAGTAAGAAGTGGAGTGCACAGCACCAGCAAGAGGGTTAGGTTATAAACCACAAGAACTGATGCAAGGTGCAATCTTAAACACCACCTGTCTGTGAATGACCATAGGTAGGAGGTCCTCAATTTTTCACCAGCTGGGCATTGACTGCCAGATAAATCCTCCCTTGATTTCAGGCAAAAACTGGGCTTGCCACACCATGGACCATCTTCTATTCTTTGACAAATCTTGAAGTTTTTTTTTCAGTGTTGCCTCAAAGAAAGTTCTTAGATGAACAATGGCCTAAGGTCACCAGGTCTAAGATGTTTAGGAGATGTCCACCTGCCCAGGCATCCAGGAGCAGCGAGCACTGAGGTGTGCCCTGAAGCTTTTGCTCAGTGCATTCCCTCTTGGCTTCCACAAACAGTCACAAACTATGAAACCTGAAATAAATATCAAGCCTGTAATTCTAGGCCATACACTGCCTTTGGGCTGAACCTTTTTGTTTGAGAACTGACTCTCACTTTTATAACACCATGCCCTCCAAAGATCTTTAGTAAAGTAATAGAAGAAAATGTTAAGATGGAAGAATAACAGTTTTATTGAGAAACTTAAGAAGGGCACAGAATTAAGAACCTTTTTCTCTGATCTTCCAGAGACGTCATTATGTGTTGATGAGAGGACCACTAAGGGACTGGAAATTAATTCCACCATTCTGGGTATACTGGGCTGTACACAAGCTGAACGAAAGATGAAGAAGACATAGAAGAGGTAACATGAGAGAACAGGAGCACAAAGAAAAGAAAAGCAATAAAGAAAAATCAAAAAGCACATACATCCTAAGGCATGAGAGCTACTCACTCTCCAGCAAGTATGCCTTTCATGTTCAGTCAGTGTGACAGAGGACTAACTAAAACACAAAGAGCCCTTCTACTTCAACGTCTGGTGTACAGCAGATGGAGAGAGAGCACTTCCTCAAATCATCACAGTTCATTAAAGGCTTTCGATCAAAAAGGAACAAGGAAAAATTGTGGCTAATGCAGACAGAAAGGAAAAGAAAACAACCAAACCAAACCCAACCACCCCACCAGAAATAGCATCATGCTAAG